ACACACACACACACACACGCACACACACACACACACACACAGCACACACACACACACAACACACACGCACACACACACACACCTATTTAAGCGTGAAGACAGAGAAGATGGGAGAAATAGGCACACGATTCAGATCGTAATCTCATCGGCTGTCTCACGAGCCATATAGATTAAGTTCACACATATATGTATGTATATATTGTCACAAAGATGTCAGAGCGCAAAAGCGAAAAAAAAAGAAGAAAAAATCAATTCATCTGTTTATTTATATATGTCACGATCAACGATTGTTCCGATCCCGATCAGTTGTGTAGTAGAGAAGATAAACCATCCCCATCGTGTTACAGTGTTATCTCACGTACACCATGTCTCGGCTAGCTCGTCGTCCCTGTCCTTTCATCAGCAGGGAAGACGAAGACATGCTTCATCATCGTCTTCTGATACAGTGGGCATTCCTCAAGTGGTTCCACTTCACCAGGCGTACTGCCGCCTCCGCCGCACACGTGTGACGTTATCTCAATTATTATCGATGATCACTAAACGCATTGCGTGCATCGATCTCCACCACACACTCTCCGGTTGTTGCAATTCGTTGCCGTCTTATGCTGCCGTTTGCCGTTCTTCTTGTTGCCGTTTTGTGCCGCTCTTGTTGCCGTTCTTGCTGCTGTTTGGTGCCGTTTGGTGCCATTTGGTGCCATTTGGTGCCGTTCTTGTTGACGTTTGTCACTGTTTGCTGCCGTTTGTGGTTGCCGTTTGTTGCCGTTTGTTGCCGTTTGTCACCGTTTGTGGTTGCCGTTTGTGGTTGCCGTTTGTGGTTGCCGCTTGTTGCCGCTTGTTGCCGCGTGTTGCCGTTTGTTGCCGTTTGTATAAGGGATGTTGCAGGTCTTGTCCTCTTTGGCGGTTCTCATGCTGCGCACACTGCGAGCCGTAGGTTCGCCATACATTTCACTTGCTAGGTAGCGGAGACAAAGCAAAGACAAACGGCAACAAACGGAGACAAACGGAGACAAACGGAAGGAACAGAGAGAGAACATGAGCACACACACGGCAACAAACGGAGAGAAATATGAAGCCTACTACCCCGTCTTCCCCCCAAATAGACTGAACGTACGCTCATGATGGCCGCATCTAGACTGAATGTTGCCCCAAATGCAGCTATGATGACCGTAGTACGTTCTATTCGACGGAAAACGGATATATAGATAGATCGATAGATAGATAGATAGATAGGAAATGCTGTGACAGGTATGGACATATGCACACGGCGTGCCGATCCGTAGATGCACCTGGTCTGATTTACGGTCAGATTCAGCTCAAATTTGCATGTGCGATCATCCCGTCCCAACTGCCTGCACTACGGTAGAGTTCTTTCGTCCGCCTGGCGTCTATCTTTTTTCCTTTTCTTTTTAAAAAAAATTGGACCATTTCTCGATTTATGCGTGTCATCCTTGCGCAGGGGCCATCCATGCTAATTACCCTTTCCTCTGTATCGTTCCAATTTTAACGGATGTCCCGAAGGACGCCTGGCGTCTATCGAGGGGACCCTCTCAGAACATTCCCTTCTTCCCCCTCCCCCCCCCTCCCCTAACATAACGGACCCTGATAACGAACCTATACAAGCAAGGCTATATTTCCGGTCAGGTGCAGCCAAATTGAGGGTGCGCTATGTTCGGGGGAAGACGATAGGGCGTCTCCCCCCCCCTTCCTCCCCCGAATAGAACACACGCTCATTACGGTGGTATTTGCGGCAACTCTCAGTCTCGATACAGCAGTAATGAGGTGCGCTCTATTCGGGTGAAGACGGTAGGATAACAATTATACTACTCATTAAGTTATTATTATCATATAATAATTCAGACTGGAATACATCTCCTTTTTTTTTTTTTTTTTTCCCTTTGTCATTTTTCTTATGGACTGATCTACATCTCAGAGAGAGATAAATGTCTAGAAATTTGTAATTAGCGGATGAAAAACTCCGCACTAAAAAAAAAAAAAAAAACATCTCTCCACCGATGACATACTTTTGAAATTAAAAAAAAAAAAAAAATTCGCGCTCAGTATCTAACGCAGATATCGGACGAAGGGAGAATCTGGAACTCAATGGAATTCCCCCCCCCTTTTATGCGTCAAAGCAAATTTATGAACCCCCCCCCCCTCTCTCCTTGTTTGCCCCTTCATTAAATCCTCTTCTTCTTTTGAGTGTGTTTTTTTACTTTTGCCCCCCCTCGAGGCAAGGCACTGAGCAATACAGTGCGTAAATTTATTTACTACCGTTTTCACCCACCCGAGTATAACGCACGGTCATTATAGCTGTGCATTTGGGCCAACTTTCAGTCTAGATACAGCAATCGTGACCGTACTATTCGGGCGGTGAAGACGGTAGTATTTATTTATAGCACAGTCGCAGACACATTCGGTTTTTTTTTTTTTTTCCGGAAAAAGCAACCGCTTATGAATTCATTGCAAATAATTCAGTATATATATATAATCAAGGCCGGGG